TAATAGGCTTACAGACAGTCATTTTGAAAATGGATTACTTTAGTGTAACGACAACCGTTTCAATATCTCCATTTTACAACCGGCTTTTAATGGCCCGTAAAATTAACCGTCTGGCTTTTCTACATTCTGCAGCTTGTGGCGACTTTTGCATTTTTTTTCAGTGAAAGTAGAAGCTTGTTGTACATTCACACCTTGAAATACGATTCTGTAAAGAAGTAAGATAGGATTTGATCCCATGGGGAGGTTGTGAGTGTTTTTCTTTCCTGCTGATGAAGAGAAAACGACAAACACATTCCCACAGATCAATTTTGTCAAAGGTTCAAGTTTTTTAAGTCCAGTAATTGGGTTTCTCTGACAAACACACACTTGTACTATTTGTCAAAAGTTTTTAAAGTCTGGTAATTGGTTTGCCTTTTCTTTGTATCAAACTGTCTCCCTGGTGAAATAACTCTGTTTTAAATCATTAATACACTACCAGCTTCCTCCAAATGATAAATCAAAGTCTCTTTAAAGTAAGAAAAGTCACTGTTGGAGAAAAGCTTTTCTCTCTCCCAAGTGGCGAGGTTGTGTTTCAAAGTTTAATCTTTGATTACATTTGTTCTGCTGCTTGGTTTCTCGTTATCAAGGCCTTCTGCTACAAGAATTCCTGCAGCTTGTTCATTTCTGCCTTAACTTACTTACAAGTTCAATATCCTGGTAATTTTTGCTGTGTGGACACTCACACACACACTCACACATTAATATTAAAGTACTTGGGAGAACTCTTATTTACTGCATTCAATCTATAGTTCTAATCTTCGACAGCTTATCAGCGTGACATGCCTTAAAAGTAAGCTCCTAAAATAGCGTCATAAAGAAGTGAGGGCCGGTGTGAGTGTCCTAACTTTGCAAAAGTCATATAGGTCCTCACAAAGGTAGAAACACGAGAACACTCACACACACTGCTGCCCTGGTAAATAGCCTCAAAGGTCTAATTTTCAGACTTTATTGATCCAGCCACAAACCAATCTTCTTAGCAAGGTTGCCCCAATACTGAGGCGCAGATCAGATTTCAATTACCTGCTTAGTCTCCACCGCAATTTCTCGCTATTTTGTCAAATAAATATTGTCACCCAGACTTCTTGCATTGGCCTGAAATTAGCCACAAAGCCACATTAATTTTCCATAATTGACCAAATGTGATGTAGAGACTGGTTTCCTTTTAATAAACAGTCAAGGATGTGTACACAGCCAGGCGGCAGAAAACAAATTCCCATCATAGTTTATTACGGACATTGTCAGCATTTAAAAATAACGCAACTTGCTGGAAAGCAATGAAAATACTTTTCTGAACAAACATTTGTATGGGATACTTGCTTTTCTACAACTTGTTTACAACATCCTGCACGATGAGAGGTGACTGACAGCTGTGAAGGTGAAGACTAGTCTGGACCACACCAGTTAGTTAGCCGTTATGGTGAAAAAGGAAACAAAACAAGACAACAGCCTAAAGCACAGCGATGGCTTTTCCTACCTAGCTCTACATTTAACAGGTGACTGAAAGGGGACAATTAAAGCTAGGTTTACACTTGATGTAAGGGGTTTATAGCAGTGCTGCTACAGTTACCCATGGTGAAGGTTTTAAATCTTAAATAATATCTTATAGCACTATACCACTCTAAAATTACTAGCTACTACAACTAAGTGATGTTTTGAATGCAGTACAGTTACCTGTAATAGAGTATTTTACATTGATGTGTTGCAACTTTGTGAGTCTGCTCCCCCTTTGAAAAATCTTTCTCTCCTATTCAAATTATGTTTCCGGTAGCAAGAAAGTGCTTAACTGAAAGTGAGGACATCCCCACTGTGCTATCTTTCTCAATCTCTCACTCTCCTCCTCCTCTGCATGTCCTTCCAGGCTTTCCTCCCTCATCTGTTTCAAGTGGCTAAAAAGGAAATTGGCGAACATTATGCACCACTGATATTCAGCAGTTCATCAGGTGTTCAAAGCCATATCCATCCGTCCCATTGGACACGCACACACTCAAAGAGGGGAGAGAGAGAGAGAGAGCGCTCATTATGGTATCGTACAATGATCAGACTGGTCCCCAGTTTCACATGCACGCACACACACACACACACACACACACACACACACTTGCATTTTGTCCCCAAAAGGAAGGCGAGTCCCCACGATGTGACCGTGTAAACAGATCCATGTCCCCCTTTCTGTTCAGAAAGAAGAGGGCTCTGAGGTAATCGGAAGGACTGAACGAATCAGAATAACTGGATCTGAATGGGGAATAAGAAGGACTAGGGGGAATAACATCACAAAAGATACTCCACATGAATAAAGAATAAAGAATGAAAAGTGATAAAGGCATGATAGAAGACTAGAGGAATGTTTGAGTCTTTGATGTGGGCTGTGAAACTGTTCCCGCAGCTATTCACTCTGCATTCTCAGACTGCTTATCGCTGATGTCTCCTAACACTTAAACAGTGCATCTTATTTTGCCGTTCTCCAATGATGTCAAGATCAATATGTAGTGGAAATAGGTTTAGTGTTGTTTTACCAAGTGTCAGTTTGAGCAGGGGTTAGTCACTGAGGCCTGACATTTCATCAATGTAAGAACAGGTCGTTTTTTGCATAAATGTATATGAGAATATCCATTAACAGCAAAGATTATGGATTTATCCATTACATACCAACATTCTCTAATCCCTCTTTGATTACTGCAGCAGGTACAGGATAGATAATAACATCTATTCCATTTTATGTGCAGCTTAATGTTTGTATATGCACCTTTATAAAAGCCCAAATATCTCCAGTCTATAAAGTGATTAGTTCCCCTTTTAGACCCTCTACTGTGTAATGCTATTCTGCTGCTATCTTGACTGATCCTAGTAGAGCCCCAAAATATCCCTGTTATCTTGAGACATGTTTCCGTGCAGTGGGTAAATTATGGTTGGCTAGAAGTCATTTTTCTTGTAGGTAAGATGAAATTGCTCCACAAATATGAGCAAACAAATGATTTGTTAATTTGTTAAATGTATAACTCCACTGCAGCTAAATATCTGTTCATTAGGCCAGAAGATGAATAATAATTGACCCACAGGCCTCACTTTGGGCAGTGCTGGCCGAGACTGAGGGCAATCTGTGCCGCCAAAGGCTGAATACATTTACCTACTATCTTTCTGTCCTATCCGCTAAATTCATGTTGTGAATGCAAAACCTTTTCACAAAGTGTCTGTCAAGCTTCGTGTCCATTTCAAACAAAACTAGGCCACTCGCTCACTCACAACGTATTTTTTATTGTGAATAGAATAAGCTCATTGGCAGCCTTGTCCATCTCTATGTGTTGTGTTTAAATAAATAAATAAAGACAGTGACGGCGATTAAAAAAAGAATTATTAATCAGCCCCTGCTGATTATGCTGTCTCCAGGAAAGAGAAAATGGCATAAAGACAGGAGAGACACAGAGAAACGCCAATACAGCTGTTTCAGCAGCTGATTCTGTATTGCTGAGTATGACCCAGATAGAACGCTGGATGTTTCCGACGTCAAGGCGCCGGTCAAAGCTATTAACTTTACTGACAATGGAGGCCAGGCTGAGTGTCCTCAGACAGCTCTTCTAGATGCCGGGCTGGGTATGTAGAGGAGTCTATTTCTGATTACGCGAGCCTCTTTATGGCAGCTGGGATATAATGCAGCAGTAAAATAGGATTTTTTTTATTTTGTCAAGCTACAGAGCATTTCAAAGTGGTAAAAAATGGAAATACAGAGTCACACTCCTTTGTGTTTAAAGTGTTTTTCAGTGCGTCCATTAAAGGGGCAGAAAGAGCGGCCTTTACTGGCTCTTAGAATTAAATGGCCTTAAATCTGCAGAAGGCTGATAGAGTTGTTGATGGGCCTCAGTGACTCCAGGATTACTTCTCAGATCTGTCAGCTACAAAGGCTGAAAAGTTTTACTCTACAAGCAAAACAGCACATGATAAAGCACCATTATTATAGCACGGTGATACATTAGCTCTTTGCTAGCATTTCCTTCTAGTTCTTTGCTCTCATTATCCAGCTTACTCATTATGGAAATACAACTTTTTCAATTATGTAACCAGACCCCGTAGCTCAACGTAATATGAGGGTCACTATAATTTATCAAAACTTTATTAACTCTAGAGACAAACAGAGCAATTTCCTCTTGACTTGGGAATGTTTAAAGCTGCACTCATCGACAGTTTTACATAAACAATGTTTCAAATGATGATGATGATAAGTGTAATGCAAACAGAGTTGCTTGTGGTGATGAACCCACACAGAATTACTAGCAACTGCAGTTCCTTTAAGCTCTGCATAGCATTTTAGCAGCTTTACGCTCATTGTTTTGAATTTCTGGCCCACAACCAGCAGCAGGCAGCCTTCCTTTAGCAAAACTACTCTGATAAACCAACTGTACCCAAGAGTAAGTTACAGCGAGATATTTCCCTCAAGTGTCAGAGTGAATATCGGACTTTCATTCATTAGGTGGACACAAACACTACTCGAAATCTATGTGAATTTCGCTCTGTGTCTGCTAATAAAAAGGCAACATTCACAATGACAACTTATATATACAGTATATTACTGTATGTAGCCTAAATGTAGTCACAAGTGGCCATAAAACAAACACCACCAAAAAAAATCAATTCAATAATGATATTCATCATGTCATAATGTGTTTTTGGATAGATGTTTAAAAATAGGACAACATACTGAATGTATTCTTATATATTTTTTTGTTTTGTAGAGAATATATCAATCTCACTCACCCACCTCTGTTAGTGTAATGCAACTTCATGCAATAGTTGCTCTCTCTAAATCCCTCATTTAAAATGACAAAAGACTGTGAAGAAGTCCAATTATCTACTTCTGTCAACCTCTCCTACTGTCAGATCTATCTGTGTGATTTTTATTGTTTGTTTTTCATGTACTTGAACAGATAGAACAGAAAGAATAGAACAGAATAGAATGAGCGCCCACTGACCTGCGGTGTCATACCATGACAGAGGTACATGATGGGAACATTGTCAGTGTCAGGTCCCTGGTCCAAACACAGATTCTCTCTTAGACTGTTCTTCAACTGGAAAAATAAGATAAAGAAAAAACAGGTGAAAAAAAGGAGGAGGGAGCGAAAGTGAAAATAAGAAAGGGATCTAATGCATCTCCGAGTATGATAAAATGTTGATGGGTAGAACACATAAGAAAAAGGAAGAGGAGGAGGATACCATCAACTTTCTGGCACTATTAAAACAAATTGCTCTTCTCACTTAACACAAGTTCAGCCTAACGGAGCTCAGCAGCCTGTGATTGGATCACAAAAACAAGGGAATGAAGAAAAACAGCTCATCTTTATTTTGTCTCTTGTGAAAGACCTCAATAAAGCCTTTGTGATTTCAAGTCAAGTCAACTCAACTGGATGTACATGAAATAAAACAATAACAACAACATTAACAAAATATATATATAACAAAAGAGAGATAAACTACACCTAAAACATTATAAACAAAATATCTGAATTTAAAAAACAAATAAATAAATCACCAGCTGGGCTAGCCTCTCGAATTTGGATAAGAGGATTAGTCCAGAGAAGAGGGGCTTGGTAAGAGATAGCCCTGCCATGCACTGATGTTTTATTTATTGTTTGATATCATGCATTTGGGACAGGACACTGAGATTTCTAATACTAGGGCTATGTGAAATTGTGGAACCAGCTAAGTTCAGAGTGAGATCACTGAATTAGTTTTCTTTGTTGTATCCAGTGCTGTTTTTTTAGATCTACAAACTAATAACAACTAGCTGTATGGGGAAAATTCAGCGTTAGAGGTGTCTTTATTTTACTTTGAACAGGCCAGGCTAACCGTTTCCCCACTTATAGTCTTTTTGCTAAGCTAGGCTAACACCTCCTAACTCCAGCTCCTTACTTACCGCACAGACAAAAGAATGATATCATTCCTCTCATCTCACTCTCAGATAGAGGCACATTTGAAAAATGTTTCCATTATACATACGTAGAAGGCAAGCCAGTCTGTCTCTTTCTCTTTCTCCCTGCATCCCTCCCTCTCCTCTATATCTGTCTTTCTCCCTCTGTCTACATTATTAATTACACCATTATGACAAAGTGCTGCACTATACAGCTTTAGTTGTGTAGCTAAAGTGAAGACAAATGGAACCACTGCAGGCTAATTATTGCCTGCCAGGAGAAAGTCATACAAACACTTTACACTAACCTTCACCTTTTTTGGCAGCTGCAGTGTAATATTTCAAAAAGGAAGAGCATCTGTACCTTTTGGATTGCAGGTTACTCCTTTAATGTGGCTATATTCCACAAAGAATTACAGACTAATTGTACAATCTGTATTAATTAACACAGGACAATCAATATACTACAGTTTGCCCTTGTTCCTTCAAATATTTAAAAAAAGGATCATATTTCAAAATGTGTTATTCTAGTGGTGTTCATATTACAAAGTCTGACATCATATACAAACTATACACACTCAGTGGCCACTTTATTAGGTACACCTTGCTAGGACTGGGTTGGACCCCCTTTTGCCTTCAAAAATGCCTTAATTCTTTGCGGCATACTTTCAAAGTGTGCCAAGAAAATATCAATCAATCAAACTTTATTTCTAAAGCACATTTAAAAAACAACCAGGTTGACCAAAGTGCTGTACATTGACATGAAACAATAAATAGACAGAAATACAACACCAGACAAATACAACATACAGTTCTCATGCCAGATTAAAAGCCAAGGAATAAAAATGTGTTTTAAGTTGTGATTTAAAAACCGGAAGGCTTGGGACCAGTCTGACATGGAGAGGCAATTCACTCCACAGTCTCGGTGCTGCGGCTAAGAAAGCTCGATCCCCCCTGCTCTTGAGCCGTGTTTTAGGGACAACAAGAAAAGACTGGTTTGCAGACCTTAATGACCTTGAAGGAGCATGGGGCTTCAACAGATCAGTAATATATACTGGAGCTAGTCCATGAAGGGCTTTAAAAACAAACAATAAAATCTTAAAATCAATCCTAAAATTAACAGGGAGCCAGTGAAGAGAGGCAAGAACAGGGGAGATGTGATCTCGCTTACGAGTTCCAGTAAGGAGACGAGCGGCAGCATTTTGAACCAGTTGTAGTCAAGAGAGGGAGGCCTGGCTAACACCTACATACAGAGCATTACAATAGTCAAGCCGTGTTTTGATGAATGCATGTATAACCCTCTCAAAGTCTGTGAGGGATAAAAAGGGCTTAAGCTTAGTAAGAAGCCTAAGTTGAAAGAAACTTGCTTTCACAACAGAATTTATCTACTTCTCCATTTTAAAATCACAATCCATTTTTACTCCAAGGTTTGTTACAACAGACTTAACATAAGGTTGCAAAGTGCCCAGGTCTATTTGTGAGACATCAGAGGCGCCACTGGGTCTAAAAACCATGACCTCAGTTTTACTCTCGTTAAAGTTTAAAAAATTTAAGGCCATCCAGACTTTGATATCATTAAAACAGTCAACCAATCTTGTTAAAGAACTACCATCATTTCTTTTGATGGGCAGGTAGATTTGCAAATCATCTGCGTAGAGATGGAAGCTGATGTTGTGTTTTATTAAGATTGATCCAAGGGGAAGCACATAGTGAAAAAAGAAGTGGCCCGAGAATTGAACCCTGGGGAACTCCACATGTGAGGGACACAGAAGGTGAAATAGAGCCACCAAAACTGATTCTAAAATCTCTGTCAGACAAGTATGACCTAAACCATTCTAAGGCAGTGCCCTTAATCCCCACGCCATGCTCGAGGCGAGAAATAAGGTTTCTGTGGTCAATTGTGTCAAATGCTGCTGTAAGATCTAAAAGCATAAGAATTGCATAATCTCCAGCGTCAGTTGAGATTAAAAGATCATTAAAAACTCTTAAAAGAGCAGATTCAGTGCTATGAAATGTCTTAAAACCAGATTGGAACACCTCAAGAACACCATGTGTATCTAAAAAGGACTGCAACTGTAAAAGAACTGCCTTCTCTAAAATCTTCAAGACAAAGGGGAGTTTAGAGATAGGGTGATAGTTTGAAAGTGCAGATGTGTCCAAATTTGGTTTCTTAATTAGTGGCTGCACCACTGCTTGTTTAAAATAGGCTGGTACAGAACCTGAAGTAAGACTGCTATTTATAATTTCTTGGATGTTAGGTCCAATAGTGTCCCACACCTCTTTAAAAAGGCGAGGTGAGACAATATCAGTGGGACAAACTGAGGGTCTCAAATGTGTAACAATATTTTTGAGAGTAGAGATGGATACAGTCTCAAATCGGTTAAAAACAGCTGTGCACTCTATGGAAATGGAGGGGTCAAAAGCAGGAAGTGCGATGCTTGCTCTAATTGAGGCAATCTTATCCACAAAAAAATTGAGAAATTTTTCACAGGTCTCACAGGATGCTACATGACAGACAGATTGGGGAGTATTGAGAACAGAATTAATTGTTTTAAAAAGAACGAGGTTTGTGGCAATTATTTGAAATAAAATCCGAGAGATACTTGGTCTTCTCAGCTTTAACAGTTCTCTGATAATTGTGCAAACTTTCTCTAAGAATGTCATAAGAAACCTGCAGATGATCTTTTTTCCATTTGCGCTCAGCTTTCCTACACTGTTGTCTAGCCGCCCGAGTTAAGTCACTTTTCAAGGTTCAGATTTGGGTTTTGAACACATGGATTTAAATGGGGCAATGGTGTCAAGAATGTTGCAACAAGTAGATAAAAAAGAAGAGATTAACTCCGCTGTATTTTGACAAGCAGAGGATCCCATAGCCTCCCTAGCAATATTAAAAGCACCAGAGAATTGCGAAGCAGTGGTGGGTTTGATCGTCCTGCAGATACGAGATGGAGCGTATTCCTTAACGGTTTGATAGGGAAGAGAAACATCGAATAAAACAGGCGCGTGATCAGAGAAGATAGCTTCGTATGTCTACATTACAAATGGGTACACCGTATGACAGAACAAGGTCTAATGGACCTGGACCTGTGTCAGACCAGAAACAAACTGTGTAAGGTTAAAAGCATCGATAAGATTTAAAAAGTCTTTTGCCAGCGGATTTGTAGGACAACATACGTGAATATTCATATCCCCTACAATTAAAATCCAGTCATATTTCTGCATGATTTCAGACAGGAAATCAGAGAAGTCACTGATAAAATCCTTATTATATTTAGGAGGTTGATATATAACTGCACATATTACCGGCTGAGATTGACCCAATTCAAGCATGGTTAGTTCGAAGCTTGAGAAGGAGACCAGTGACAGCTATAGTAGCAAGTCCACCTCCTCGACCAGTAGTCCTCGGAGAGTTAAAATAAGAGCAATCAGCCGGTAAAAGTTCAGAAAAAGCGCTCGACTCACCACATTCAACATTCAGCCAGGTTTCAGTCACGAATAAGAAATCCAAATCATGAGAGATAAAGAAGTCATTCAGGATGAAGGTCTTATTCACTAGCGATCTAGCATTGACCAAGGCCGCTCTGATAGGCTGTGTTGCCGGGCTGGCCGTCCGAGGTACTTGACTCAGCGGCCGAAGATGTCCTTAGTTGACGCCACCTCTGTGGAGTCGAAGTGAACATCGGCGAGGAAGCTGGGCCTCCACATCCGAGCCGACAACAGGCTCGGATGTGGAGAATGTCACAGCTGAAATCAAGAGTCATCAGACCGAGCAACGTTTTTCCAATCTTCTACTGTCCAATTTTGGTGAGCCTGTGCAAACTGTAGCCTCAATTTCCTGACAGGAGTGGCACCCGGTGTGGTCTTCTGCTGCTGTAGCCCATCTGCTTCAAGGTTTGACGTGTTGTGCGTTCAGAGATGGTCCTCTGCATACCTCGGTTGTAACGAGTGGTTACTTAAGTTACTGTTGCCTTTCTCTCATCTCGAACCAGTCTGCCCATTCTCCTCTGACATCAACAAGGCATTTTCGTCCACACGGCTGTCACTCACTGGATATTTCTTTATCTTTATCGGACCATTCTCTGTAAACCCTAGAGATGGTTGTGCGTGAAAATCCCAGTAGATCAGCAGTTTCTGAAATACTCAGACCAGCTCGTCTGGCAA